AACTATATAAATAATATGCGAACTCAATTGAAATTGATCGGCAAAATTAGCCAATCAGACAAACTTCTGCCTATGATACTGGGGAAGATTAGAAAGTCAAATAATCTATGAAGCAGAAAAGCCACACCGACAGGAACTTATATTGAAATACTTGTTAAAAAATTGACCTCGCCTTGGACCTAATAAACAAGTTGTTAAAACATTCTCTGAAGAGATAGCTAATCCTCTTAGAGACTCTCAAGTTGATCCCTATATGATTCTTCAACATTGCCGTAATTACAAGGACCCACCAATATGTCAAGGTTATGCCTACACTATTTATTCTGAGAGATACCTTAAAGATCAACTAGTACCAGCATTAGAAAAAGAAGCAAAAAATCTTGATTCTCATTTCCCTGAAGGAAACATTATTACAATAAAATCTGCAATTATTATGGGTATCAAAGCATCAATTTTTAGTTGCATGTTGTTAGATTGTGAAGAATGTATTCGTCATTATTCACCAAAAGATATGGAGAATCATCTTAATACCAAACATACTTCATTTTTTGAACAAACTATGGCAGAACACAACAAGGTCTGGGTATGTGAAGAAAATATAAATTTATTTGTTGATGATGATAAATGCAAAGATCAAAAATCACAAGAAACATGCCAGAATGAACATAGTAGATCTATTAAACACAAAAGAAAATATGAAGGGATTAATAATGGTAATATACATAAAAAAAAAAGACCTTGAACTAATAATAAACTTCAAAAATCACAAGAAGTCTATCAGAATGAATGGAGATCTGTTAAATCTTATTATAAAAAAATTAGTATTTTATTATTATTAGAACAAATAATATGTATATATATGTATATATATATATATTAATTAAATTATAAATAAAAAAAATTAAATTTCCTTTTGCATTGATTTCAATCCCTTCAATTAATTGGTTTCTCTTGCTATATGCAAAAAAAAGTAGTTTATATTCAATTGTTCATATTACAGCCAGTAAATCAAAACTTCATATAGTAATAAAACATGATTGACAGACGGACGATGGTAAATTAATTGTTGTTGATTCAGTTATTTATCACTTCACATTCACTTAAAAATTAAATTTACATCGCGTTGATTTGCGTTTATCAATTATATTCTATTGTACTACTATTAATTTGAGTTGTACAACTTGATATGCTTTGAATTTTTTAAACCATTTTTTCTATACATTTCAAACTAAATTCTCCTTTAATATATTATTTACTGCTCAACAACTTAAAAAGGAGGCACGTTTATTTTTCAGCATCGAAAGGATAATACTTTTTGATAACATTTAATAAATTCTATGAAATATTCATATCCACCGAAGCAATTGCATATGCTTTCCCGAAAGTGTGCTGTATTGCTTTTAGATGTGTTTACGAAGATATATCAAGCACGAAATCAGTATCTTTTGATTACTAAAACTTCATCTAATGATATTAACTCATAAAAATTATCTTCTTTAGAGGCTTTGTTACTTCTAGGAAACCATCTACAAACATTTTTTGCAATTACATATATTGTGATTACACTAACTATACTAATACTAATTCTAATTTGAATAATTGTAGTGTATATACTCACGTGTGAACATGGTTATCACAATCATTGTCTACAAAGATGCCGATCTAAATATTTGATATCTTGGACTATCTTCAAGTCGAAATCAAAAAAAATGTCAATGCACTAAAAGAAAGTATGACAAAAAGATTAAATGAAAATAAGTTTATCAAAAATATTGGAAATATCAAAAATACCAAAAATACAGATGATGATGATCTGGGCATTAGAACATGCAAAAAAAAACAGATTGTAAATTTTGTTATTATTAAATAAATTTGTTGGATTTTTTCATACATTATGTCTTGTCTTAATCGTATAACTTAAATACTGGTTGTGTTTACGATCATTTTGTCGACATTCATTATATTAAGGTTATTTTGATTATATCGAGAGATATGGTCAAGAGAAGAGTTAGAAAGAGAGTTATTCTTCAACCAAGTCGAAAACCAGCCCTTTAAATACATTTTCGAGTAGTACAATTTAATTTATTAGACTATTTCAAAGGTTTGTTGCATGGTTGCTTCCAACTTATTAAATTCGAACCATTTGTTAACGAAACAACTGTTGGTGAAGTGATTGTTGACAAAATGAATCAAACCAACATTTATTTTTACGTTATCAAATTCACGATTAATCAACAATTGCATGGGTTAAACTTTTGTTACCTGTTCTTGTTCCTTCGTTCAAACAAATAATTGTTCACGACACAACACTATTTGGAATTTAATTGTTTTTTATGTGTCAATACTTATAAACGTTCTGTAATTCTTGTTAAACCTATATAATACTAATTTTAAACGGAATAACGAGTTTGAATATGTGGTTTGTGGCCTAGTACTAGGCCCTATAAATTATGCGTGCAAAGTTTGATTTCCTATTACTATTACTATTACTATAACTTTCTTTTTCTTTTTCGAATAATTGAATTTCAATTAAAATAATAATGACAGAAAATCAGAAAACAAGAAATTTCGCATGCATGTTCTACAAGACCTAGGCACAAGCTACACTCCCCTTCCGACCACTTGTGCTGTGTAACGTCAAATGAAAAAAGTACTTGCTAAATAAAGTACGTTTTCTTAAATAAAACTTTTTCTGCTATACTAAGTAAACTCATATTTGATTTCAAAACTCTATATTACGAAAATTTCAAACAGTTCGGTATGGTATTAATGGAAATATTTAACAAATCATCCAAAAAAGAAAATTTCCGATTGAATTTTTACATGTAATAAAAGGTCAAATTTTTTTGTTGTAATGTATATTATTACCTTAATAAAACGTGCTTAACGTAACAGATTACATATATTTACAACACGGTGTCAACATAAATTAGTTTATGAAAAGGGTTTAAAAAAGTATCCGACCACCCCGTAATTTTATCATATAAAACACTTAATAAAGTTGACAAAATGCAAATTTTAAGGCTTTACGTTTCGTTGTCTATACTTGATCAAATTTTCTCAAATTTTAACCATTTATAATTCAAGGTATTTTAAGTGGACTTACTTAATGACATAATTCATGATTCAACAGAGTTTTGAACCTTTTTACTAAGCTCAAAGTTTTCATAAAAACCACGAAATTTTTTGCCTAATTTAAAATTTTCATCCTAAATTTATTAATAATGCAAACTCGACGAAACTTTAAGTTTATATTCAAATTGACTTTAAAAACATGTTTACTTAATGCACCAGTCCCGGTTTGATTAATAAAATTTTGAACTGCGTGAGGTATAAGTTTCCCAATTATTAAAATGATCGTCAGATGGTCGGATATTTATTGTAGGTGAGTGTACATAAATGATAAGAAAAAAGAAATAACGGAAAAATACAAAAATAGCGATTCGATGGAAATGAAGGAAAAATACAAGCAAGCAATTACAGAAATCAAAGAACACTACGAGAATGAATTGAATAAATGCGAGGAAGAAAAGAAGAAAATTGACGAATACCGTAGTGTGGATTGGGTAAAGTATGACGAACAAACGAAGATAATAAACAGAGAGCGCAATAGAAGAAAGAATGAAAGCGAGGAAAACATAGCTATAATCAATTACGAGATAAGAAAGATTGAATACGAGGAAATAAGGAGAGATCATTATTTCATTGATGAAAATGAAGACAATGATGTACTGAAAAATTATAAAAAAGCATACCATCAGAAAGAGACAGATTACAAGGCAGCTAAGGAAAAATACGCGAAAGTAACGTGGGATATAGTTCAAAAATACGGTGATGTAAGGAATGAATATGAGAAAGCAAAAGAAGAAAAAAAGAAAAAAATGACAAAAGAAAAGAAGGAAAGAATCAAGAAAATCAAGGAAGAAATCAAGAATGAAATTGAGGAAATCAGAAATAAAATAGGTTGTGATGGAATTGCATTTCACGATTATGCCGGTGGAAGATTCGAAAAACAAAATGAAATCTCCAGATTCAAACCAAACGACCTTGAAAAAGGACTTCCTCCTCCTGATATTGATCCTATTAGTAAATGTATGAAAATCTAAGGCCACGTATTGATCGACATACTTGAAACAGCATGGATTACTAAAATGGATTAAGTTGAAATACAACCCATATTATTACTGGTCTAATTGGAAAACCTTTTAAAAGGGGAGAAAGTGGAAACCCCTTCAAAAGAGGAGGAATCGAAAAAAACCCCAATTGAGGAGGACAATGAACTGAAGAAAATGCATATTAAAGAGGAATCGGAGGAGCTAGAGCTAAAATGGGAGGAACAGGAATTGTTGAATTTGGTGAAACATGAACTTAATATACTGAAACTAGAAAGACAAAAACTGATGGAGCCGGTACAAGAAAATATAGCACCAAATTACTTACAATCTGAGGGTTTGTTTGAGAAAAAACTCCATGACATAACAAATTCCTAATTTCTAATTAATATTAGTATAATTCTTATGTAATAATAGTAGCTTTTTTCAATGTCTATTTATTTTTTTTAATTTTTAAAAGAATTCATATATATGTATTAGTATAATTATATCATGATGGTACGTCACGGTTATATTGTATTGAAGATTCTTTATTTGAATTTAGAAAAACAAACTAATAAACAAACTACAACGTAGTCTATAATTTAATGGTGATCATCATATAAGCTAATCCGATAAAATTATGATTTTATTATCAATTAGATTTTTGAAATATTTAAAATAGAATTCGCACCTTTACTATATGGCTTTTTAACATTTAACCCTGTCCTCCTCCTACGCATTTTATATTTTATTGTATACTTATTTTCTTTCTATATATGATAAGTAACTGAACTGCTCTGTTATTATTATTAATTTCTCTAATCTATTTTATGATCACCTAAAGAGAAAAAGATTTTAATAATAATAAATCTAAACGGGTATTCCTCTGTTAATTCCAGCATGTATGCATTAACCAATCCTTCTGTCCAAGCATGATAGCACAAACTTTATTGCCAGGAAGAAGCAAAGTGTTAAGTTGCACTTTACTGTTTCTTCATTTACTAGAGACTCTGGTATTGTCTTTGGACTGATACGAATATCTGTTCTGGAGCAATGCTTATGCACAAGTGAGATGGTCACTACAAAATTTAATGATAAATTGTTGTGGTTTTTGTAAAATCACCTCCCAGGAGTTAAAGAAACTATCATTAGCATCTGACTTGGGTTTTATTAAACTAGACTTTTACCCTACAAAAATTTTTGATACTTATTTTATCATTAAAGCATTCTTATTTTTACAATAATGACTTAAAACTAGTGATGTTGGCCAATAGAAAAAAATTAGCTGACCAAGCCAAACAACTCTAAGCCAACTAAGAAAGACTCGGATAAAATAATTTGCTAGACAAACTACAAACTTTTTATAAATTCACTGAAAATTGGTTGTTTTATCATTTTTACCAAATCTATTTCTTTCTCTTGTTAATAAATCCTAGTTGATTGGAGACTTTTCGGATATTAATATTACTAAGATTTCCGGTATTATTATTATCATCATTATCATTATTATTTACTATTCAATTTCCTAATTTGCTGCCATCATTACTATTTAATGGTTCACTCATTGTTAAGGTTATTTATTTTATTCATTATGAATTTGAGTATTCATTCGAATTACATTGAATGTTTTATTTGAATTTTAGGAATTTTAACCTTTATTATTATTACTTTCTTATTATCTTTTATCCTACTACAAATATTGTATTATTATTTTTTTTTTAGAGCAAATGAATGTTTTTTTTTGTCATTCTAAGTAATGCATCTCAACTAATTGTCAATGCTACTGAGTTCTGTACTAAAATTCCATACGTAAAATGATTGTTAAAAGAAATTTTTTTTAATAATATCATTACTTAAAACATACTTAAAACATACTTTAATTCGTTACATTCTTAAAATACGCATTTAATAACACATATTTTTCACTGCTCAAAATTCATATAATTTAAAATATTCTTAAACATGCCTTTTCTTCCCATTGTTGTTCTTCTTTGCTAGCGTGTTAACATAATTTGTAGTGAACCGATTAATTTTTACAAACTGTGATTATAATCCATGAAAAACAAATAATAAAATACGACTTTCAATAACAAATAAATGATCATATACAAAAATAATTATAGAAAAACTCAACTCGATTTTAAATTTTTTATAAATTAAAAGATTTTGCAGCAATTCAATTTTTTCACTTTCTACCAGAAGATACTCCTCACATGTAACCAAACTGTTTAAACATAAACTAGGTATTTCACAACTCTGCTATTTATCATCCACAACTTTACAATCTGTTTGACTATTAGCAGCTACGATGACAATAAATGGATTACAAACTTCATTGTCCAGTTAATGATCCGTCTCTCATGGGTAAAATAACATATATTCAACTAAAACAACAACTACAATCGACATTATGGGATCCCTTTCTGCCCATTATTAATGACACTAGCACCTCTTACAAAATTAAACAACAAAAATATTACAGCTTCCTGTGTCACACGTCAACCTTCATACTCTTTTATCTCCTCTTTTAACATCAAAGGCGGCAATGTCCTATTAATAAACATTATATAAAATCAATATTTCAAAATTATGCCTTTGCTCAAAAACAATTACTTTCATGCAATTACCCAACCTTTCTCCCAATAAACATGTTATTTCGTAGATTACCTTTAAGTAAATTTTGTATGTCTCCTACACAATACACTTTTTAATTAATTATTTATTTATTTATTACTAAAAATGCTAAAAAAACATTTTTTACTATTATTATCATATGTCCTGTTTTTTTTTGGATCATTGATTGGTTTACTTTTAAGAAAAGAATTATGCATTTACAATTGAATTTATTATTTGTTTATTACTAAAAATGCTTTGATCACATCTATACATTTATTTTGCAAATCTGGATTGCAACCTATCATCAACTCTATTTTTCTATTAAATTATTTTGAATTTTTATTTTTTTAGATTACAATAAAAATATGGAATAGAATTTGTCCAATGAAATGTTGTAATCTGTATATATCCCATGCACAACTTGAAATATATAGTACATTTTTCCATTACTAGTACTTGTCTCGGGGGTAAGACATGCAATGGTGAACCCATGTGACTCGCTTAAATATGTTATTAAAGTCCAGCAAGTGAGGGAATGTAACTCTTTGCTGGTAGCTCATGCTAGGTGCATTTTTTTAAAAATATTTATTCAGAGATAATTGGTTACATTTGTAATATATGAAGATCCATCAATAGGATTATAATAAAGATTAAGACCCGATTTTGTTTCATGAAAATATTCAAGTTTTTCAAAAAAAAAAAAAGAGAGATGGCTGTCCTATTTATATGTTTTGGGTTTAATAAAATAGACTATATCTTGGCCTGAATAATGTCATTTTTTTGCTTTTTGCAACAAAGAAGATGCAATCCAAACTAATGTTGGTTTCCAAAACTCGAGAGTTTCGCAACCGTGCGAAAGTCAAAAGGTTTCGCCATAAGTCGAAACTAGTTTTGATTTTTGACTATCGACTTTTGATTTAGTTTTGACATATAACTTTTAATTTTAGTTTTCACCTCTTCAAAATAGTTTTGGCGACCAACACTAATCCAAACCCAATTTAAAATAAATGAATTTCCGCATAAAAATTTTTTTCTGTAATTTCAAGAAACTAATAATTTTATTTGTGTCGTCTAATATGGTGCGCGAAGTCTATAACCGCTATTTATTGTGCCACACCATCAAATTTCACAAAAAAATGATGATAAAAAATTTATAAAGTCATGTGATTTTTAAAATTTCTTAATTTGATTTATTATCAATTTTAATTATCAATAACATTGCTTGGAATTTTTCTATGAGATTTGTATCTCTTTACTGCATATAAAGCTTCTAGACCTGTCAATTCATTTCTATGAACATCCATAAATCTCCAAGACCTGCAAGCAAACTTCCGAATTTTTTTGAGAGAAACAGAACTTAATGCCAATGGAACAGTTTTTTTCTAATGACTTAAAGGTATAATCACGGTTTTCACGGGTATATTATTTTGCTGCACCTCAAAATAATTCAATAAAATTAAGTTACAGTGGAACTTGGGGTAAAATATGACTTTATGACCATAAGATTCAATAGTTTCTTCAAATTTAAAGCTTTTTGATTAAATATTTTTGACGCAGTGATTTTTTACAGCTACACAATACCAAGTTTAGAAATGATAATTGTAGACTATCCTAATTTTAGACAAAAATGTTACTGCCAAATCATCATGAACACAGTAAGATACATGTACTAAAAAAAAATAGAACTCGATAACCAATCAATATTTTGAAAAAAACTTCTCTGACAATCTATGAAATAACAAGAGTTATTTTTTAAAAGGATCGACAGAAATGGACTTCTATTCTTTCAAAATCACGTACAAAATGGTGGTTATAGACTTCGCGCACCATATTAATTAATCGCTAAAATTTTAGAACCAGATTTGAATATGAGACACATTTTACTTACGAGGTTTGTAAAACAACGGTTTTATTTGTATGCGGTGAAACTTCAGTACAGTCAAAGCTCTCTATAACGAACCTCCAGTCCCGAGAATTTTTGTTCGTTGTAGAGAGCGTTCACTATAAAGAAAGTGTCGATCAATCATCACATTTATAGTCATATAATTATGAAAATTGCAATTAGTAATCCATTTATCTTTTTCTTTTAAAATCTCAGTTACTGTAGATTTTCCAACATTATATATACCTGCAAGTTCAACGTTAGGAATATTTGGATCTCTTTGTTTCAACAAACATAACTCTTTCTTTTGTAAAGCTGTCAAAGTAGTTCTTCTTTTAGTTGACATTTGGTTGAATTTTAAAATATCTTTTTTTTAAAAAAAAATGCATACGGATATTTTATATATTGGTATTTATTTTCTTTATTTTCATTAATGATTTAACAAAAGAGACGTAGTGTGTAAACAATTAATTAATAAACAATTGTATTCTTATCGCTTGTATAATGTTGATATTAATTTTGTTTTCGTTATAGTTAAAGAAAGAAGTCGGCATAATATACTTTGTATCAAATAATAATAATAATAAATTTTTATTTTATTGTGTTACATTAAAGTTCGGTATAGAGAGCGCCATTTTATATGTAAATTTATCATGATTTTTCAAAAGCAGTTCGTTATATATACAGAGCAAGATTAATTAACAAAAAATCGGGACCAATACCTTAATTCATTATAAAGAGCAGTTCGGTTTTTGGAGAGAGCATTGACCAGGTTGGGCGACGAAAATAAATGTGACGAAATAAGGTTTTTACACTTTGAGTAATTTGATGAAAATGACGAAATGACGAAAGTGACAAAACAATAAAATAAACCAATTATTTTCTAGATTTTAAATTATGAAGTAAATAAAATTCATGATATCAAATTCCAATTTACCCAATTCACCAATTCCTTCTCAATCATCATCATATAATATGAATTTGCAAACATTAAAATTAGGTAATATATCTGAAAGTTTATTTAACAATAATCATGAATTAGCTACAGGACATCCTGTGTTTGATGTATGGTTACACTCCATTAAAATAGTAAATGAAGAATCATTTCAACAATCAGAATTATCAGACGATTCTACAGATTTTGAAGAAAGTTATGAAACCTGCAATAGATGTGAAGCAGCAATTCCTACTAAAATTTTGCGTGCAAAAATTAAGTATCCAACCAAGAAACATGATTTACGATGTAAAAAATGTTTTTTGTTTTAATTAAATCTAAATAAAATTGAATTTTATATTTTCGTCATCTTTATCACAATTTGACCTTACCTTTTATCACTTTTCGTCACTTTTCGTCACAAGTGTCCCATTTGACCAAATACTTTTACACTCCAAAATACTTTCGTCACCCAACCTTGGCATTGACTTTATATACTATTTGATATGAAGATTGTTAATTGAATTATTTTTGATGATCTGTAAGGCTTAATATTTATCATAAAATGAGTCACATTATAATAAATATAGAAAAATTTTTTTTTAATTAAGTATGTATTAGTATTGCGGTAATAATCTCCATCGGTGAAATATAGCAATTCCCCATGTAAAATTTATGGATTTTACATCACAATAATTAATTTCTTCTACAATGAGTATTTTCATCACTTGTAAATTTCATCGCTCGTAATTAATTCCGTAATCATGTATTAAGTTTTTGGCAAAACAATTACCATCCCATGTATAGTTGGTTCACAATTTACTATCACACACTATTATAATCTTAATCATTCCTGGTACATATCACAACAATAATAAAAGATTTAATTGAACCATTCAAGCAAGATGTGATGCAGACTAGTGTTGGTCGCCAAAACTATTTTGAAGAGACAAAAGTCAAAACTAAAATTAAAAGTTATATGTCAAAACTAAATCAAAAGTCAATAGTCAAAAATCAAAACTAGTTTCGACTTATGGCGAAACCTTTTGACTTTCGCACAGTTGCGAAACTCTCTAGTTTTGGAAACCAACACTATGCAGACACAATTATTTATCATAACAGCAAGAGTTAGACTCTATGCTTGTAAGATTGTTTATTTAAAATTAATTAAATTAAAAGGTAATACAGTAATATTATTATAATGATATCAGAAAAAGGGGAAACGAATGTAAAGTGATAAAGATCAGATATTCTATACATAATGATGTGTATGTGGATGTTAATTAATTAAACCAAAAGGAATTCAAAAGGTAGTGGCGATAGATCCTCTATGTTTGTTTCTAGTTGTGTATATGATTTATTATTATTGTTAGTTATTTTTCTTTTTCTAAACCATCATCTGATAATTAAAATATGTAAATCTTTTGATAAAAATAAATCTTTTTTTGAATATATATATTTAAGTGTAAAATAAATTAGGAGTATTACTAATTTTCCATGCTATATTCAACTTGATAAATATATTTTTTTTACATATTAATAGATAATAAAATTTTTGATTTGTTACCTTTAGCATTATATTGAAATTTGGTTCATATGATTCTAAAAATAATATGAATAATTATGAATAAAAGTCAAAATTTTCCAATAGAACCTTTCGAGTGATTATAAACGATTTTGTAAAGAACAATTTGAAACAATTATTACTATTGCTGTTAAGTTTGCTTTATTCTGCACAACAGTTAGAAGAAAATCTTAAAATTTGAAAAAAAGTAACATTTGTAGCCTGGCGTAGAATAAACTGTAATTAGGTTAGACTCTTGTTTTAGAAGTCCTAGTTTGGCTCTAAAAATTTTATTAGTTGCAAAAGTCTAAGGAACGCAGCAGATTTAGGGAGCGCTCAACTCATTTACGGGTAATAATATCACGGAAAGAAATTTGAATGAAAGGTATGAATTGACTTTTTACATTTATGGCTACTAATTTCTATGAATTAAAATCTAGTTAAGCAACAAAAATTTTTTTAATACGAATTGATTCTTTTTTGCATGCATGAAAAGCGAGAATTGTAATTATTAAAAAAAAATTATAAATACATATGAAAAAAAAAATTTATTTTAAAAATAACTTTAGAGATTTAAACAAATAGGAAAGGAAGTTTTTACGCTTTAGGGATTACTGGCTTTTGTTGGCTTCTCTGTTGTTAACTTTGCTGAAATAACAGTAAAATTCATATTTGCGCACCCTACTGGATTGTCATTAGGATCAGTAACTAAATAATAATTGTCAATTATATTAGTAAATGAAAATCAAGTCAACAAATGAACTAATATAGACAAATGATAAAATGATAATATACCAAGAATAAGTTGTTGAAATTCAGCATCAGTTATATTAACAGTTGGGCGGGGAATGAAAGTGGTTTGTGTATAATTGAAATTGTAAGGGTAATAGGGATTATCAATGAAAGGTGAAGTTGTAGTAGTAGTAGTATTATAATCTTCATAATTGTTATTGTCAAGTAAACATATTACGGTGAAGGTTGAACAGAAATCTACAATGTTATTATCAATATCAGCACCATTATAAAAAGTAATAACTTTAATTTTGCTAACTTCTTTTATGAAGACGTTATTACTGAAGCCTTCGATTTTTAGGTGGAAGTTTTTCCTATAGTTGGCTCGGTCTAGAGATCTCCTAAATTTTGGGCAATTTTTAAAAGTATAGAATTCACTTTTTGTCCTACCTTTTTAAAAAATAGCTCTATTATTTGATATAATATGTCTTTAGTTTTAATGTAATAGAGAGATTTTCTCAAAAAAATTATTTGTTATAGAGTTCTATTCTTTTTTAAAACATGTACTCTACTATGTTCGTAAGGAATTTGTTTACTATGATCATTTCTAAATTTAGGAAATTATTACTAAATTTAAACTAGCTATTGACTATCGTATCTAAATTTGGCAGCAAGAAATAGTTTTTAAAATTAAAATCACGTGAAGTCCTATTTGGCCAATGGCGCAGCAATGGGAGGTCTTTGAGCAAACCATATAACAACTTAGTTAGAGGTATAATCTAATTGGTTGTTGAAGGTATTATTTAATTGGTTGGAGGCATTGCCTAATGGATTGTTGAAGGTAACTACTGTGTATGTGTCGAAGAAAACCGTTAAATTATAATTAATATAAATATCACATGATTGTGAGTAGCATAATGGAAATTTAAAATGTTACACTAATTTTTTATATTGTGCAATGTAGCTTTACAATACACGCCAAACATTCTGGCAATAAAAAGTATAGTGATAAACTGGATTTGAATTGGATCTGAACTTAGATGGGTAACAATTGTATACTGGTGAAGTTTCAGGAGCAATGGGTTCTGTATAACATTTCGTGTAACAACAAACTTCCACTATTACTATGCTATTGTGAGTAAATGACAATTGGGAAAACGAAACGAATAAGAAAAAAGAAAATGTTGAATAATTTGTTCATTTCGATTTTTATTTTTTTATTTTTGTATTTTTTTTTTTGAAAATTAAGTTTACTTCACTTTCAATAGCATACGGAAATCAGTTCTTTATATAATCGAATGAAGAGGGTGAGCGCACTGGCCATTAATATCACATCCATGTAACAACCTACTGAAATTTTCCAATATCTGTGGCGCTAAATTTGGCACCTTTAATGAACATTGCACACCTAGTCCCATTTAGTCTTGTAAGAATGAAAATATAAGAAAAATCAAATCATAGAATTAATATATCACCTTACCACGAAATTAAAGCACAAGTTTACTACGTCAAACCCAAAATTGGCACAATAATTTTTTCAATCTTGTGACGTAAATTTAATTTTTAAGCATAACACACATTTTGAGATCACCTGGGAGGAATAAACTTGATAATTGAAGAAATGTTGTTGGATATTATAATTTGATTTTAGATCTTAAATTATTTTTATACATGCAAATTTTTTTTTCTTAATGTTGACGAGCATTACCCAAAAATACTGGACAAATTACCTGAAGGTAGTATAATTATGTAAACAATTTCTACAATATAATATACACGCTTGAATAATTGATAATTCCTTTTCCGTCAAATTATAAATCAACCTTATCAATCGATGAAGGGACTTTTGAGATGCAGCATCTGAATCAATAAACGTTGTCATTTAACGTCTACTGTGTCTGGGAGGAATTGGGCTGCATACATGATAAACAGTGAAATAGATCGACCACTGCTATTCTTTTAATTAGTTTATATATATATATATGTATTTCAGAAAAACAAAGTTGCAGATGTGGAGATAATTTGAATTACTGTATATGTATAATAAATTAACTAATAATATATTAGCCAAAAAATTTTATTTGTTTCCATTTTCGAAAGTCAAAAAAAAATTTAACATTTGGAATACCCGTTTGTTTGAATTGCTTTAATATGGATTCTCAAGATTTTACTTTTTCAAAAGAGAAAGAATGTTGTGCTTCTTTCACAACATAACATTTCACAAGATAATTTTGGATAAATTGAATTATTGATGTTCACAAAAAAATTACCAAATTTGTATGATACAATAAAAAAGCGGAAAAGGCAATTATTATCAACCAACAAATCAAATTTGCAGCTTCATGAGATTCATCTTTTATTTATTTCGTCTAAATGCTCTTTATGCTGCCATTAATGGAACCACAACGTTGATATTACCTTTCCGGATTTTTTTCAAATGCCAAATATAAAATAAATAGTAAAATTAATGTTGTCGACAAACGCCTCTTGACTAACAATCAACTTAACGTTTTATAATGCTTTTTGGCGGAAATGGATTGTATATATTTGGCATTATTAAAAAAATTCTCATTCAGTATAACCTTCGTTGCATTATTGTTTACAAAGATATTTTTTGCAAGAAGTTTATTCTACATGCTGATATAATGAAAGCCGAGCAATATTAAATTCTCGAGAAAGATCTATTGTTCTACGCATCTAATTTAAGTGATAATAAATGATAACAGATTGTTAAAAATGGTTCTTCATCCAATCAACGAATGTTTATCGTCAATTTTTTTATAAATTAAGTGCAAAATCATTTTTTTATAAATGTTTTTAACTTTTGAAATAATCTATTCATAGATTATTCAAGGGCGTTCTTTTATAATGAATTTTAAAATTCTTCAATTCAAGTTTTATCAAAAACTTTTTATTTTATATTTATTTTGTCTTTTATTTTGTTTTGTCTCTACATCAAACGCACAAAATAAAAGTCCGGCTGAACAAAATCAAAACAGTCTTATTCCTAACAGCATAATACAGTTTCCGATAAATGATCCAACTCAATCAAAAAGTGGTTTAACTTGTCCTGTTGTTGGAACTTATAATGACGCTAAAATATATCCCAGCTTTTTCTCTCAATTAGGAACGTTCTTTCCTATTATGGGCCTTCTTTTTACTGTAGCTGTTTATGGTACAACATCCGTGTTTGGATATATAACGACATGTCTACTTGATGATATTGTTATTTTGGGGACATCCTTAGTACTCATTATTTCGTGGTACAACTTCGCCAAACCAGTCTGGTTGGCTTTATTAGCAAGATTATTGCAAGATGCTTCAAGCAAGAGTGGTGTTGTAAAAACTTTTTTACAAGTAAAAAATGCAGTTGTAATTGTTGGGTCTGATTCTGGACCAGTTGGAAATAATTACAATCATGAACTCTTTGTACTTTGTTGTGTTTTTATTGTAACTGCTGTAGCTGTTCTGGCTGTACTGGGGTATCTTAGATATGATTTTCACCAAAAACGGGAAATTCTTAGCAATCCAAATAATAAACTCTACAGGCGTTTCTACAAGAGATTAAAAGCCGTCATTATTTGGATTTACTTTATCCATTCATTTGAAGTCATAATTTATACTATTTTGCAATTCGTGTATGTCTTTAAAGTACTTTTATACATACAAGGAGAAGGGGAAATTGGTCTTGTTGAAGTTCTAAGAGCAATTGATTTGCTAACCATAAATTATCTCATGAAGATTTCTTATTTCATCTCAACCACTACTTTAATTACCTCGTATTACTTTCCTAATTTAGAACTACGTTTCATAAAATTGATAAAAAGGATTTTCAGAAAAGACACTGGTAAACTTACTGAAGATGAAAGAAGGTATTACCAAGGTTTTATTCGTAAGAAAACTTTCTTTCTTACCGCTGCCCTTTCTTTAGGCCAAATATTTTTTGAATATTACTGGTTTTGTACTCCTTCAATTATCAGCACAGTTTTCAACACCATTCTTACCACAGTTTTGACTCGTTCAATCGCATCATTCTTTTCTAATCAGGGAATAGTTAAATACATTTATAAAAATAAAGAAGGTGTTGAACATGTCAAAGAGGATAACGATATTGAAGATAAAACAAAAGTTTACGCAGAAGTTGGCATTATGGATATTTATAATGTTAAAAGTTTTAATATAAATAAGGATAAGTATGATGGCGACAGTGTTATATGTCCTAGTAATTTGGAAAAATATTCAGTTGATTCTACGGGTAATTATGTTTATGTTTATACAAAATCCACAGAAAAAAATGTAGAGGAAACGAGTAATTCAAAGGGTAAGGATGAGGATGAGATTAATGAATTAGATAAAGAAGTAAACACTAAGAAGCCCAAGTCTAAGCAATATTACTACGTTATGCCTGTTCAACAATCTATGTACTTTGTTAAACTTGATTTTGATGAAAGTAAAATCAAGAAAGTAACGAATGTATACGAGGAAGATTACAATGATAAAAAGAACAAATACATCGAAACAAAAAAATTATACAAGGATATAATGAAAATACAAAACAAAAAAAAAAAAGATAAAGAAACTATAAAGTTCCAAGAAATAAAGAATAAATACGAGAAAATAGAGGAAATTTACAATGAGAATAAATACGAGGAAATCAAGAATGAATACGAGGAAATAAATAGTAAATACGAGGAATCAGATGAAAGTGCAAAGAAGGAGATGAAGATTGAATACGAGTACAAAAAGGAAGAATACGAGTACGAGACAAGAAAGAAAGAATACAAGGAAATGTGGAAAGAATATGAGGAGAAAAAGAAAGAACACGAGAAAGAATACAAGAAAATGTGTAAAGAATATGAGGAAAAAAAGAAAGAAGACGAGGAAATAAATGATGAACACGAGGAAATGAATGATGAGTACAATAAAATAGAAATATACAAGGAAGTGATGAAAGAACACGAGAAAAAGATCAAAGAACACGAGAAAAAGATGAGAGACAACGAGAAAGGGTGGAAAGAATATCAGCAGCAAAAAAAGAAAAAATACGAGGAATTTTACAAATACGAGAAAATCAAGAATGAATACAAGGAAATAAATAGTAAATACGAGAAAGCAGGAGAAAGTGCAAAGAAGGAGATGAAGATTGAATACGAGTACAAAAAGAATGAATACGAGTACGAGAAAAAAAGGAAAAAACACAAGAAAATGTTGAAAGAATATGAGGAAAAAAAGAAAGAATATGAGGAAATAAATGATGAATACGAAAAAATAGATGATAAAGGATGGAAAGAATTCGAGGAAAAGTGGGAAGAATATCAACAAAAAAAGAAAAAATACGAGGAAATAAAGGATGAATATGAGAAATTAGAAGAAGATAAAAAAGGGGAGAAGAAGACTGAGTATGAGGAAAAAAAGAAAGAATACGAGGAAATAGCAGATGAAAAAATTAAAGAATACGAGAAAAAGTGGGAAAAATATCAACAAAAAAAGAAAAAATACGAGGGAATAAAGGATGTATATGAGAAATTAAGAGATAAAAAGATGGCGAAGAAGACTGAGTACGAGGAATCAAAGGAAGAATACGAGAAAATAGCACATGAAAAATTTAAAGAATACGAGAAAAAGTGGGAAGAATATCAAGAAAAAAAGAAAAATTACAATGAAATAAAGAATAAATATGAGAATCCAGAAGGAAATAAAAAGAAGGCTAAGGACAAGGACAAGAAAGTATACGATGAAAAAAAGAGAGAATATGAGGAAATAAAAGATGAAAGAATGAAAGAATACGAGGAAATAGCAGAAGAAAAAATGAAAGAATACAAGGAAAAGTGGGAAGAATATCAACAAAAAAAGAAAAAATACGAGGAATTAAAGGATAAATATGAAAAATTAGGAGGTGAGAAGACTGAGAATGAGGAAATAAAGAAAGAATACGAGAAAAAAAAGAAAGATTACGAGGAAATTAAAGATGAAAAAATCAAAGAATACGAGAAAATGTGGGAAGAATATCAAGAAAAAAAGAAAAATTACAAGGAAATAAAGGATAAATTTGAGAAATTAAAAGGAAATAAAAAGGTGGCAAAGAAGACTGAGTACGAGGAAATAAAGAAAGAATATGATGAAAAAAAGAAAGAATATAAGGAAATAAAAGATAAAAAAAAGAAAGAATACGAGGAAATAGCAGATGAAAAAATGAAAAAATACAAGGAAATAGCAGATGAATATGAGAAATTAGAAGAAGACGAAAAGGTGGCAAAGAAGACTGAGTACGAGGGAAAAATGAAAGAATTCGAGGAAAAGTGGAAAGAATATCAACAAAAAAAGAAAAAATACGAGGAAATAAAGGATGAATATGAGAAATTAGGAAATGAAAAGGTAGCGAAGAAGACTGAGTACGAGAAAGAAAAGAAAGAATACGAGGAAGAAATTAAAGGAAAAAAAAAAAAATATGAAAGAAAAAAGAAAGAATACGAGGAAATAAAAGGTAAATATAAGAAATTAAAAGGAGGGACTGAAAACAAGGAAGAAATTAAGAAAAAAAAAGTTGAATATGTAAGTAAAAAGAATGAATACAAGAAAGAAATATGGGAATACAAGAAAATAAAGGAAGACGAAATGGAGAATCCACGGGAAGGATACGAGAAGGCAAAGGAAGATTACGAGAAGGCAACTGATGATTACGAGAAGGCAATGAGTAATGATTACGATAATAATTACGTGAAGCTAATGAGTTATGTGAACATAATTGATAAGAATAAAGGAATGGAGGAGTACAATGAAAAAAAGGAAGAATTGAAATACGAAAAAATAAAGAAAGAATACAAGGAAAAAAAGAGAAATTATGAGGATGCAATGAGAAAAAAGGATAAAGAGATAATGAAAATGCTCGGGGATGAAATGGAGAATGAGGATGGAAATGAAGGAAAACAGAACGAAGTGGAGTATTTAAATGATATTAAAAAGGCAACGGAAAGATACGAGAATGAACATAAGGAAGATGAACAAACAAAGAAAGATTATGTGGAAAAATTGAGAGAATACATTAGCGCAAAGCAAAATAAATACGATAAACAAAGGATAAATATAGAGGCTGAGTCAAGGATAAAATACCGGGAAGCGAGCGAAAAATACATTAAAGATAAGGTGAACAAAATAATGGCTAAATACAAAGATACACCGGTGGAAGAATCCGAGGAAGCAATTGCAAAACACGAGATAGATGAAAATGATGAAATAATGAAAGATGATGAGCCGGCGAAAAAATCCAAGGAAACAATTGAAAAACACGAGATGAAAAAAAATGAATACGAGAAAAAATTAAATGATTGTGAGAAAACATTGAAAGAATACAAGCAACAAATGAGGAAACGCAGTTATGGTCATACACATGGTTATACAAATTTTAAAGATTTGTGTGATAAGCAAGAGAGAATAAGAGATAAAATGGCTATGTTCGAATATGAGTTAAAAATGATTGAATTTGAGGAAATAAAGAGAGAATACTATTTCATTAAAGAAAAAAATGATAGGGATATAATTAATAAAGTATACCAGGAAAAAGAGAAAGAATATAGGGAAGCTAAGAAAAGATTCGATGACTTAACGAAGAAAATAACTAAAAAATACGATGATTTAATGAAAGAATATGAGAAAGCAAAAGAGAAAAAAAAGAAGGAAGAAACAAAAAAAGAATATAAGGGAAGAACCAAGGAAATTAAGGAAAAAATTAAGAATGAAATCGATAGAATTAGAAATGAAATAGGTTGTGATGGAATTGCATTTCACAATTATGCTGGTGGAAGTTTCAAAAAGCAAAATGAAATCATTAGATTCAAACCGAAAGAACTGAACGACCTTGAAAAAGGACTTTCTATTAGTGATAATAAGAGTATTGAATGTATGAAAATCGAAGGTCACGTCTTGATCGACATACTTGAGACAGGATTCCTAAATTATATTGTTTATTCTCACCGTTCTTCTAAAAAGCATGGATTACTAAAATGGTTAAAGTTGAATTACAATCCATATAATTACTTGTCTAACTTGAATTACAATGCTTACAATCCGTATAATTACTTGTCTAACTTGAATTACAATACTTACAATCCATATAATTACTTCTCTACTTTCCACTCCACAAAAGAGGAAAACTCCACAAAAGAGGAAAACTCCACAAAAGAGGAAAACTCCACAAAAGAGGAAAACTCTTCAAAAGTGGAAAACTCTTCAAAAGTGGAAAACTCTTCAAAAGAGGAGGACATTAAAATGAAATTTATTCTGTGGGATCTAAACTTCGCATCGGAGAATCAGGATGAGCTAGAATTCGCATGGGAGAAACAGGAATCAGAGAAACTGGTGAATGTCGAAGTTAAGAAGACACTGGGACTGAAGGAACAAGAACTGATGGAGCTGAAACAGGAACAAAAGAAAATAGAACCAAATTCCTCACTCATTGGAGGTTTGGCTTTGAACCAATCCCTAATTTCTAATTCTTAACATAATTACATTGTGATGATAATAGCTTTTTTCAATGTCTTTTATTTTCTTAATTTTTAAAAGAATTCATATATATATATATATATATTGTTCTATATTAACATAATTACATCGTGATGGTCCATCACGGTTATTATATCGAAGATTCTTTAATTGAATTTAGAAAAATAAACTAATAAACAAACTGCAACATAATCTATAACTTAACCTTTTTCCTTCTCTCAATTTCATTGTGATAATAGATTTGATGTTATCAATTTGATCATGGAATATTTGAAATAGAATTCGCACTGTTGCTTTGTGATTTTAACATTTGATCTTGTCACCTTTTATCATTTTATATTTTATTGTATTCTTGCTATATATGTTAAGTAACTGCTCTGTTGTTATTATTAATTCTAGTTCTATTTTATATTCCTAGAGGATCGATCATCTAAAGAGGAAGTTTTTTTAATAATGAACGTGTTTGTTTCTATATACAATAATAAATCTAAACGGGGAATTTCTCTATTAATTCCAGAATAGATGCATAAGCATTAACTATTTCTTCTTTCCAAACATCATAACATAAACTTTATTGTCAGGAAGAAGAAACATGCTAAATTCCACTCTACTGTTTCTTCACCGATTAGAATCTCTGGTAATGTCTTTGGGCTGGTACGAATATCTGTTCTGGAGCAATGCTTCTTTCAGAAGTTCCGCACAAGTGAGATGGTGACTACAAAATTTAATGATAAATTGTTGTGGTTTTTGTAAAATCACCTCCTAGGAGTTAAAGAAAGCTATCATGAATTCCAAACTCAGAACATTAGCATCTGACTTGGGTTTTATTAAATGCCTTAATAAACTAGACTTTTGCCCTACAAAAAGTTTTGATATTTATTTTATCATTAAAGCATTCTTATTTTTACAATAATAGACTTAAAACTAGTGATGTTTGCCAGTAGAAAAAAATTAGCCGGCTAAGCCAAATAACCATTACTGCTACGATGCAGATCATCTATAATTGCTTATAGTAACAATTGGTCAACTTCAAAATACTAAAACAAAAAAAATTATATCATTTTAAAAAATTTAACCGATAAGTTTTATTGTTCATGACTAATGACACCTGACGAAATGTTTTTGTAGGCGGGAAATTATTTCGTCAAATTATTGTTAATTTCGTCACATTTGGCGAAATGGTAAAATGTGGTAAATTGACGAAATGTGACGAGGAAAATGTGACGAAAAGGGGAAATGTGACGAAAAGGAGATATTATAAACAATTCTAAAAATTATAATAATTACAAGAACTTGCAATAAAACTTTTTTCTGTTGTTCCACATAGTGCTGGCTGCGAGCGAAAATTTTCAAATTTAGGTTGGTTATATAGTACAAGAAGGCATAATTTCAATTTAGAAAAAGTAGAAGATATGTCAAAAATCTATAGTTATTACCTTGCACAAACTAAAAAAGAAATTCAATATTA